TATATATATCTCCAATTATTTAATATGATACTTTCGTTATATGGTATACAATATTAAATATGATCCTGTAATATGATAGGTAGGTACCTGAATGTAGTCTACCTACTAAACGGCTATGAATCCCAAGTATAGCGATGCAATCGCGCGTTTGTATCGATGCAGTCGCGCGCTTGTGCTGTTTAAAATCGCGCGCGTGTGAAAGGTAGACGATTAGCGACTGTATCGCGTAGGCATTGCGTTTTAAAAATCGCCGCTTGTAAACGCTCTTAGGCTAGTATCTTTTTTAGAAACACACACACAAACTCAAACAACTTTTCTCTATAAAACGTAATATTCAAATTCTTTTTGTCTTTGCCATCAAGAAAATTGTCACTAAATTGTCACAGCTGTCAATCTGTCTACCTTAGTTTTTGTGTTATAGGTTTCTGATGGTTCTCCCAGGATGGCATCAAAGGTATCAGTAAGATTTAAATTTCCGCGATGATTCTGCTATACGTGTGGCTCATGTCACAATTCATATTAGACCCGGCTAAGGGAGACCAATGGAATGATATGTGCACATCCTACGGCTACACATTACTGGAAGCCAAGTTTGGAAAGGAAAAACACTGGCTTTGCATTAAGTTGGTAGATATGGGTAAGTGGAAATTTTAGCTGGACCTAGAGGTGGGAAATCTGCATATTTTTTTTAAACGTTAAAACGTAGTGTTTTTCTTTAAAAAACGTGCTTTTCCAAACGCTCCTCACTTACGCTCTTAAGAGTCGTATGCCAGAACTCTACTCAATGCTCAAGTGAAGACTTCAGTACGATTTCTAGTGTTTGATATCATACTCAGGTCCTGACTTGAGCATTGAGTAGAGTTCTGGAATACGATCATTAGTTTGAAGCTTACAAAATCGTTTAGAAAAACGTTCTTCATGTTAAAAAAAATCTTAAAACGTTGTGTTGATAGCGAAAAGTAAGAGTAGACGAGCAGGATGACAAACAGTATCATAAATGCAATATAAGCTCAGTAGAGTGTCAATGTAATTACTATGAGTAATGGTTTCAAGAAAACTAGTAGACTTGGTGACCTGGTTGCTCTGGATAATATGTAACACCGCGACATATGTTCTTGAACTTGCTGTGATTTACAAGTAAAAATGTTTGCTTACACTTTCAGTTCTTAGAGCTTATGCACACGACGCATTTTATACGCGCCGACGACGCGCGTCTACGCACTGCAAACGTGTAGTCGCGAATTTGTATCGCGCATTTTGTAAAAGACAGTTTCAATTACAGTTTGAATTGTTAATTTCAGTTAGTTTTCGCAATGAAACTACTACACGATTTTCTAAGTGTAAACTCCAGAGTAGAGTAACTATATAAGCCTCTTGCTTGCAACGCAACGCGATGTTTGAGCGCGTTTGAATCGATTCACTACAGCACGTCTGCGGTGCGTATAACCGTAGATAATACTAATAACAATAAAGTCCCATGCACACGGCGTATTTTATACGCACAGACACCGCACAGACGACGCGCAGATGACGCACGTGAACGCGATTCAAACGCGATGTAGTCGCAGCGAGTAAATCTTTGCACACGTTCACAAATTCTGTGGCGCCGTAAACGCGCGTCATTTGCGTGTATACGCATCGCAGACACGCTGTAGTCGCGCATATGTATCGCGCATTTTAATAAGAGATGGTTTGAAGTTTAGTTTTGTTTGGTAATTTACAAGAAATTCCAAGTGTAAACTCCAGTGAAGTGGAGTATATAAGTTTCTTGCTTTCAACGCGATGTTTGCGCCATTTTGAATCGATTCAAACGCGCGTAAAACGCGATACAGACGACCTTCGATCGCGCTCCTCGCGTGCGTCTTTATCGCGTTAGAATCGATACAAACGCAACAATCTACTTTTTGAACCCCTACGGTGCCGTATAATGCGCGTTACATGAACGCACGTCGTCGGCGCGTATGAAATACGCTCTTAGGTTCGCATAGGCTCTTAGGTTCCCGCGATTGCTATACATTAGACATGGTAACTGTTTTTACCCGACTGCGGAATGGTTATGTTTTTCTACTATATGTATGTCCATTTCGTTTTCACGCTGTACAGACTAAACTATGAGGTGTCGTTAGATTCGTCTTGATTATGTGAGTGTCATAGGCTATAAAAATTAATCAAAATAGTGAAGGGGATAATTTTTTTATCTTTCCAGCTAAATATTTTTGCAATCGGGTTTTTGTTTTTTTAAATGATTTTTAGACTTGTTTCGGATCTAAATCGCGTTTATTTGTTTTTTCAAACAAACAGTCAACTATGACCGTGGAACCAGGGCCCAAGTCTGCTAATTTTAAATATTTTTTTTTATAATATCAAGTATAGGGACGAACAAGTTCTGCACGTGTTGTTGTTGTTGTGCAGTGGCAGTCAGAGCTAAGATCTAAATGGGCAAATCCATGTGCCTGTAATTTCACCAGCACACTTAATCTTTAAAACAGGAACCATTGATGTACACATTCGCATCAGCAGTATTATATCACTTGTGTGCCGAATAGAGTGCCAATGGTACGATTTTATACGTTTGTTACTAAAATTTAAGAATAGCGGCTTGTCAATGGCCATCGATCGTAATTTTTTGTTTTGTGAATGGCGAGTTTATTGCACGTCAATGGCGTAGTTTACTAATGTATTATTAATTAATGGAATCTCACAAGAACTACAGCTGAGCAGTAGACTTTATTATAGTAGCAGTAGAGCTCCTTGTCAAGGAGTTCGTCCAGGAAAGTACTGCCACCTTAGCTATTTCTGCCGCCAAGCAGTAACGTGAACATTACTGCGTTCCTGTTTCGAAGGGCAAGGGTGAAATTACAGGCACATGGGACTTGTCAACTTATGTCTCAGGGTTTCGGGCGCAGTGGCAGTACCCTCAGATCTTTGTGATTTTAAAGCTCCGAGTGACACATCAAATGTTATGGACAGGCGCGTCGCTTACCACCAGGCGCACGACTTATTCGTCCCGTCACTTACTATTCTAAGCTTCTATAATTATAATAATAAAAATAACGCACACACTCAACATAGCCCCGCACTAGGGAAACCCTGTGTCGCGGGTACCATGGACACATATAGACAACGACAAATTACACCCAAACTCACGAGAGAAACAAATGTAGGCCATACAAATATTTCTCCCGGCCCGGGAATCGAATCTGGGACCTCTGGGTGGCAGTCCGGCATGGCAACCATTCAGCCACAGAGGCAGTTTATAAGTCAGTCTATTATATAAGCAGTCTATATATATTATTATAAGCAGTCTATATGTTCAACATTATAACGGCTACGTCACACGATTTAGTAATTTGGTTAAAGAAATAACTATTTTTTCCTAGCTTCATCGCAACTGACGCGAGCCAGCGGAGCAGTACTCCTCGACCCTGATCCCATAGAGTCCGGCAACTACATCCAAGCTTATCCCCTACAAGATATCATTATGGCGTACGGTTTTCCCGTAGAAACTCCACAGGCCGGTTCAGCCGAGGGGTATATCGGAGAAGACGGACACTTTTACGGCGTGTTACATATTGGTACGATGATAGCCTGTTCCATGTTATCAACTATTAAGTCTGTTGCTGGAGATAGAAATATCATTGGTGCTGCGATTCTATGCGCAGAGCCCAGTACTGAAGCGTATTACAAGCAAAGACACACCTCGAAAATCAACACTGTGCGTTGTAACCATAATTTTGGAAAAATCAGTAACCCATCTTCAGTTCTTTTAGCAATAGCCTCCTTTACGCAGGAGCGTACAGGATTGTGCGCGGGATAGCCTGCACGCGCAATCGCGCGCGATTACCTGTTTGAAATTTGCTTGTCGATCGGCGCCACCACCTTAAATAAATTTAATAATTAAAATATTATTTATCTAGTTCTTAGGTATTTTTAAGTTGTTCTTTCGCGATTGTTACACTTATGAAAAGAAACTATATTTCCGGATTTAAATCGCGTATATTTGCTTTTTCAACAAACCAACGTTTCGGACCCTTTACAGGTCCCATGGTCTCGGTCTGTCAACCGTCAAATCTACGCGATATAAATCCGGAAAAATAGTTTTAAAATATTATTTATTTATTTACATATTAAATTATAAAACTGCCAAAAAAACCATGGTGTTCATTGTGCAAAAAAACCATTATTGTCAATTTTTTTTTAATAATACACTGATTTGCAGTAATTGGCAAAAATGTGCGTAATCCCTAGATCTTATGTATTTCGACGTTATTTACTGGCAATTTCACTTGTAATTTCGTTCGAAATTGCAAGTTTAAAACCGTTTTCTAAACCAAATTTTCAAAATTAATCAAATATTCATGGCATTGTAACATGTACCTAATTGCGTGATCTATAACGGCCACGATTTATCCAAAAAAAAATGTTTTTTTTAGGAAACCGAACATTGCACGCGGACCCTTACAACACAGACGACACTGCCAAAGTGTTTGGTGGCTTCGACGACGACTATGTGGTCGCCCCACCACGCTCGCGCCGCGACCATTACCAGGTGAAGTTATCAGGTGAAGTTTGACACTTGCACCGTAACACTTTTGCGTTGTCCTTCTCACGCATACCCATGACCCATTGGCGTCCTTCCTTTCTTTGGCGTCAATACTACGCAAGTCATTAATGGATTTGCTTTATGTGATTTGTAGACATCGGATACTTTCATTTTTTTTTATGATACCAAGTGAAGGAATCTTATCAGATCATTCCATCACAATGAGACATAAACTGAAAAGTCCCATATGCCTGTATTTTCAGCAGCACGCCATTACAGCTGCAGTGCCACTCAGAGCTTTAAATCGCAAAGATCTGAGGGGCCCTGCTACTGCGCCCGTCACCCTGAGACATAAGTTGACAAGTCCCATGTGCCTGTAATTTCACCAGCACCCTTACCCTTCAAAACCGGAACACAGTAATGCTGACACTACTGCTTGGCGGCAGAAATCCGTAAGACGGCAGCACTTCTCTGGACGAAATCTTTCACGAGGCGTTCTACTGATAGCAGTAGAGCACAGTATCTAGCTATTGCTGAAATAACACTTGATCTTATTCCTCCTGTAAAAATTGCTCACAAGTCAAGACTTGTGAGCAATTTTGGCTTTCGGTCTCAAGCGAACCTAAGGTCGAAAGAAATAACTAACGTAACAAAATGATCAATTTACTTAAGAGGGAGCAGAGGAAAAATTCCTAATCTTCGATTTGATTTTAGAGGGGTATATCCACTTTAAAGTTAAAAATAAAATATTGTATGAGTAACTACACGATATATTCAAGCATAGACATTAATCAGAAACATAAAACCATAAAGTTTCCTCGATAGATAAAAATCACGAAATGACCTCTAATTTTTTCACTTCACATTTTTTCGATTTATCCTCGAAATGCTACAGGTTATTAGGACAAAAATTAGATAATTAATTATATTTATGCATGATCGACAACTGTCACTATGGATTTTTTTTAATCTCTTTAGTTTTAGAGTTATTCCGCTAAAACGAATTTGGTACTTTTAATGCGCAAAATTCAACATCTCCTGTCGCATGTCACACGAACTTCAGACATATATTTGTTTCACAAATTTGGGCGGAGCCAACGTCAAAACTTTTTTGGCATGAGAGCTCTTAGTGACGTTCTCAAAAGGACCTCGTTTGTCATTTAGATGTAATTTTTCGGGAAGAATTAATAACGTGGTGCAAAGTTTTATTACCACGTCATCTTCCGGTAAACATACATCCTGAACTTTTAACTCTGCTGCACCAAGTGTTGACCTGATCTCTGGAGTCAACTTCCGCTCTAGTGTTGGAAACTGGTGGATTGAACTCGAGTTGTTAAGGACTGGTCGGATCAAAAGCTTTTCAAAAATTTGGCTGCTCCAAAATGGCTGCCACATAAAATCGAGTTTTCAGTATCTCTGCAACTATCAAACGACAACTATGGATCCTTCTACGGTATTGAAAGAAAAGATTAGACGCAATGAAAATCTGTTCGAAATGATAATGAAAGCTTGCTTACAATTTTATCTATTATTCAAAGGACAGTCATTGAATGTGTTGCAGCAAATCATCATAGCATACTTAGGGTCGTATTCTAGAACTCTACTCAATGCTCAAGTCAGGATTGCACTGGAAACACAAGCACTGGAAATACGACCCTAATGGCAGGGACTTGAGTATGATTTCGAGTACTTTAAACCGTACTCAAATCCTGACTTGAGCATTGAGTAGAGTTCTAGATTACGACCCTTAGGGTCGTATTCCAGAACTCTACTCAATGCTCAAGTCAGGATTTGAGCAGACTTGAGTATGATTTCAAGCACTAGAAATACGACCCTAATGGCAAGGACTTGAGTATGATTTCTAGTGCTTTGAATCATACTCAAGTCCTGACTTGAGCATTGAGTAGAGTTCTAGAATACGACCCTGAATGCAAGAAGTCAGGGGTCCTATTCTCGAAACACAAAATCTGCAGTTAAGGCCGTTTTCCCACTATGGATGACCTATATGACTATGACTATGACTAAGTCTATGACTATAGACTTGAGTTTCGATCGGGACTAGAACTAAGAATGTATGACAACGCGATTTGACAGTCTCGAACCTTCGACTTCGAGAGTATTTCCGTAGGTCATCAATAGAGGGAAAACGGCTGAACTACGGATTTCGTGCTTCCTGACTTCTTGCTCTAATGATTTTACTGCTTACAGACCTAACTCCTGATGATTTTGAAAGGCACGGCCGGTTTACACACATATTCATTTGTATTCTAGATCCCTCTAACCAATTTTTGTGTCTGATTAAAAACACTTCTTTGTTAAACTTTGATGTTGTCCACTTTTCATTTAATTTCGCAGAAAGGCTTGAGATTTTCATCCTGAGATCTCTTAAAGATTCGTCAAAAGCTTCAGTGATATTATGTTTTTTTTATAAATCCTCAAAAATGCGATTGGTTCGTTCACTTTTCTCAAGTTTTAGCCACTCTTTGAAACATTCCATTTTCGTCATAGTTATGAAACGTTCTGAAACAAGAACAATAATTTTACTTGCGGGGCTTTTCGGGGTCTAAAATATATAAGAATCTATACCTGAATATTTTGGTAATATAATATACAGAAGTATCTAGACGGATACATTTGGATACAAAAATTTACATTCCTTTAAAGTTTACAATTAAGGAGAAATATACAAAAATTCTTCATAGATTTTCAAACTCATGTTACACCAAGAATAATCATGCTATTTGTAAAAAAAATACGTGATAATAGTCTATATACCTTCAACAGAATATTCCATCAGACAAAACACTTTTCACTTTGCTACCAATTTTAAGGGATGCTTTCATAATTGTACTAAAAATGCAACTGATTTGCAAATGTAAATCTCAACTCCCAAATCACTTCCCTTTCACACCCGACAAGTACTATAATTAGTTATTTGACCTAATTAGTTCTTGGAACTCGGTACCTGTGAGGGGTTCTTTACAAGTTGTTATCACCTGTTCCTGGAGATTATGTCATGAATTTTGTCCTGCTAGCTTGTACTAGACGAGACACTGCGACGGTACACAAGTTTCGTAGCTACATTTATTTATCACTAATGGTTAGAAACTAGAAATCAATTGAAATTAAAGCTCATAGGTAGAATGACGTATTATCTATGCGTGTATCAATTGGACAATAACGGCGCACGAACACACCCCGGGCACTCCATACAACGGTCGAAAGTTAGTTATCTACTACTACCACATATTGCGAGGTGCTATCTGCACACGCGCAAATGTGTGCGTGAAGTGGCAGGGTTATCCATCACTATCTCGTACTATTACGTTACGTGGTCAGAGCAGCAACATAGCGAAAATTCTAATGCGAAACTGTTGTCTATAATTCTATTGATAGAATCCTAATAATTATACATGTTCATTAGGTATTTACATCGATATAATATTATGTTTTTCTTTAATTCACTAACTAGAATAATATTGAAGGTTTATTTTAAAAATATGTTAAAGCACTAAAAAAGGTTACATTTTGGATAGGTAATTTTAAATAAGGTAACCAAGGTATTTGAAATTTTGTGACCAAGATTATCATTACCTAGTTAATAATTAGATTCACTACGTAATATTTATCGGCAATACAAATTGAAAATTCGAGAACCCTTGCCTACTAGCTTACGAAGTTGTGGCGTCTCATTATATTGATATAATAAATCCGTATTATGTATTACTCTGCACTAAATAAATGAAGAAAACAATAAATGAATGAGTCTCGGACAAGTTTTTTTTTTCATTCGGGAAACGAAAGAAACTCATCTCTTTATCCCGTTTAGATGACGATAAACAGCCGTACACAGCACAATTTACAACTATTATAAATAGTAACATAAAATGATGTTACCTATTTAAATGAAAACTATATTCAAATATCGTGTTCTTAGGTTTAGGTCAGTCAACTGTGACCATGGGACCTGTGACCATGGGACCTGTAAAGGGCCCGAAACGTCGGTTTGTTTGGAAAAACAAATGTACGCGATTTAAATCCGGAAAAATAGTTTCAATTCGTATATATTCAAATAATCAAAGCCGTCTTAGCGCGAAAACCGCTCGCCGACAGCCTTATTGCCGTTCAGTCTGTGTGAGAGGTGTGGTGCGGTGTTTAAAGCTAGGGAGGAGCGACGAGTGTCCGTTCTCGTTACTTTTTAGTTCTTTGGCACGAGGCAAGATAACACTGCCATCATTGCAAATAGGTACTACCTATTTGTGTTGTTCTGGCTGCGTTGCGAGATAAAGCAAATTTTTTTGTGACAATACGAAGTAATAACAAATTGATTAGTCTGCAGTTAGTTCGTATCCGAGAAGGCACGAAAAACGGTGCCTAATACTGTTTTGATATCAACACTAACGTAAGGGAGTTTTGGTATGGCGGATTTTTTGCTTGCTACTTCTACACGAGAGAACAATTAATGGAGTAGAAAAGAGGTTCCTCAGAAAAATGTGTTATGTACGGTTATGTGACAGAGTGAGAAATACTACAATACGTGAACGATATGGTTTGAAAGAGGACGTAGTAACAAGTACAAATACATAATAATAATATTATCTTTAGGAAAAGTCCTGCCTAAATCGTGCCGCTATATAATGGCCGAGATCAGTTGGCTAGTTTTTCAAGACAGGATAGTACAATTACATTATTACACAGTACATTAACTATCACATTTCGAGACGCAGATGAACATTCACGTCCCGAGTCTGGAGGAGTTTCCGTACAACGTCCAAGAGCGAAAACGTGTCCCAGGAGTAGCCAGAGCGAGGGTCTGTGACCTGCTGCTTCTCGCAGATAAGGAATTCTTCGAAAAGGATGCTAACTCCAGTCTGAACCACTGCGTTCGAAGAATGGTTCATGCGGTTGCGCAAGCCGATATCATTTTTAGAAACGCTGATTTTAATGAAGACGGAGTCCCAGATAACATTGGTTTGTAAAGTTTGGCACTACAAATCAAAATCTTTAAAAAATCTTTAATAAGGTACAATTTTATCCTAAATTTACTCGTACATCCGTATGCGTTGATAAATTTATGAAATAATATCATGAAAGCATACAAGTTAATTGTTATTCAATAGTGTCTCAACGAGATATAGCAGTAATCGTAAACTGACTTGGATTATGAGGAGCTTTGAATCACAAAAATAACTGGCTTACTTTGTGCCACCTAAGCGAGCGTATAAATACCTTTACGTACCTTTGCGACTCATTTGCCAGATCTGTATGCACCCTAACATCTTAACTCCAGGTTTCTCAGTAAAATACATCTTGGTTCTGACATCGAACGACACGAACTACCGCGTGTTCGGGGACCTGTTAAACAAGAAGACAGTGGACGGCAGGCAGTATTTGATGCGATTTGCACGGCTGCGGCGACTGTCTGAAGTTTGTCTGGGCGTCGCTTTCTCAGGACATGCCTTTCTCAATAGGACTCTTGGATTAAGGTAATTATCAACGCTTTATTTATTACCAGAACACTTTTTGGTATCACGCTCATTGCCCCTTCAGATACCAGACGACTTATAAGTATTTATCTTTGGAACCTTGAATTAAACCATTAAAAGAATCTGTTAGCTACATTCCGTTTTTTACCTTTAGTAAAGATTTTACTGCCTACTACTAAAGTACACAGATGAAATTATTTTTGTATTTTAAAAGCCAACACCAAAAAATCGTAAGGTACAACGAAATACGTGTGGAAAAAAACTATAGCATTGAATGCCTTAAATTTTCATCCAAAAATGGCTGTCGTACAACTGGTTTATATAACAGCTTCACATCTCTCGGCGGCGGCATGGGTGGCGCAGCAGGCGGACTATGCGACCGAAGAGCGTACGGCAGGTCCTTTAACACCCTAGCGTTGGCGCACGCCACGGCTGATGACAAGGAACGAATCCCTGAACGAATAGCTGCTTTGACGCTAGCTCATGAGATGGGTAAGATACTTTTCATTGGACTGCATTTCAACTTTACTATACCTCATTCCTCCTCAGTAAACTCGTTGTTACCAAATACAATGTGCATTCTCGCCATATTTACAGAGGTCATTCTATATCCGAAACTGATTCCAAATCACAAAAATATTAATTAAATCGAAAAAAAAAAATTCGTAAATTTCTATATTTTATTATATTGCGGCATACAAATTTGATCCAAAGGATTTGCACGGCACTTGCTAACATTTTGAACAATGACCTTAAATGCGGGTAGCGACGGCTAGGAGTGTCGTATCGAGCGCGCGATTGGTACCTTGCTTCCCGTACTGCATCTACGTCACGCTGACATCCCACACACATTCTATTCTAGTCTGTCACGACATGCCACGTAGTGTGGTACGTAAGCAAGAGTTAGTAGTGCAAAAAAGAAGCTACCAAGTTCACCAGAACCTGCATGGTAATCCATCAAGTACAAGTGCGTGTGTATTCTTATAGCATGATGTGAAACGTTTAGTTTACGCGGAGGATACGAGTGTCGAAGTTTCCGCTTTAAAAGTTGTGGAGTCTGTGGAGAATGTTGAAACGAAATTTACGTGCGAATCTAACATAGTGGTGCCTTTGGTACCGAGCCAGCCACCAGCTGTGGAGCTAGGTATTTCTAGCAATACTTTCTTGTAACCTAAAGTTGGTAAGTACCAAATCTTTTCTAATTAATGTAAATAGTAAATTATAACGATACTAGTACATAATCATAATTTAAAAAATGGGTAAATAAGCGATCGAGAAAGATTACATATCGCTCGGTGAAGCGGGTGGTGGGGTCACTGCCCTTGCGTGGTGCATATGACTTGAGACAATTTTGCAAAACTTTACTAGATACAGTTAGCCAGAATATTGAACAGAATATTTTTTTTTTATTTCTATTATTAATTTCTTAAATGTGGCGAGAATGCTAATCATCACATTGTATAAGCGAGAACCGCTGTAGGTAAGTCGTGTTAACACTATACTTTCATTTGTTAGTTACTTTAGATATGCAGACTGACAAACACCTCAAATGTTAAGACATTTGAGGTGTTTGTCAGTACCTACAGAATGGAGAAAATATTTATTTCCCACGAGAACTTGACATATGTTCACAATGTACTCCACCGTGACTAAAGTCAAGATCCTCTAGCTTCATACTCATATCTTGCTCTTCAGGTCACAGCTTTGGCGCACATCACGATGACAATTTTCCAAACCCAGAATGCAAAGGCTTCCTCATGGGATCACAGTCTTCAACGGCTGATAACAGCGCTCATTTCGAGTTCTCGCTTTGCAGCAAGAGGCTGATAGCTGCCACTTTGAGCAGTATGAGCTACTGCCTTACGGAGGAGGATAGGCCTTATTGCGGAAATGGTGAGATTGTTACTAAAATTTTGGGATTGAAAGCGATCTTTCCCAAAGATAGTAGCCAAAACCAAAATAAAAGTG